CATTATAATGAACATACAACAAGAGTGTCCCTATTCATATAGTCAGGAACCGAGAGCCAAGGACTATTTAGGAGGAACTAAACTGACATTAAGCGTTATCTAATGAATAAGAATGAATATCTTCGCAATTCAAGAGATGTGTCTGACTGGTTTCGATTATACCTTCGTTAACAATACTTGTAGTTCTGGCGAGAATAATATTGAAACTGGTCAGATAAATCTTTTGCAGTGTGAAAACATCCATTCTCATTCATAAAATATACATACTTGATTGTAATGGACTGTGCATCAAACGTTAAACAAAGAGATTGAACAACGTCTGTTTGTAATGATGACAACTGATAAGCTTTGATTCAGTGCACATGTATTTTTGTTTATAAATGTGTGTGTGTATGTGTCTGATGTTTATGTTTGTGTGTGCTTACAGTGGTTTCTTCATAGCATGATAAAAATAGGTCATGTTAATGTGGAGGATTGGAAGAGAGTGGACAAATGATAGAGCAATGGAACTTATCAGATAAATACGGACACATATCTGTATATATCAAGAAGGGCTGAAGGAGGAAGAGAAACATATGAATAAAATTATAAAAATCAGACTACATTAAAGATGTAAAGGTGTAAATAATGAGCAAATAATAGTCGCCACAACATGGCATAACTGGGACTGTGTCAAGAAACATCTAAAGCGATATTAATTTCCCAGAAAATGATAATGAATATTCCCTTAATGAGAAGAAGAAGAACAAGAAGTAGGAGGAGAGAAGAAGAAGAAGAAAAAAAAAAGAAAAAAAAAAGAAGAAAACAGTAGGTGAAAAAGAAGAAGAAGAAAAAAAATGAAAAAAAGAGAAGAAAACAGTAGGTGAAAAAGAAGAATCAGAAAAATAAAACAAGAACAGAAAACAAATAAATAAACTGAAGATATGGCGCAAATGAGGTCTCCTTCGACTGAATGTAAGGGGTAGAAGGAGGAGAACGTAATCGCCATAAAGGAATTAGAACAATTAAGGGTCATTGTGTTGCTAGACGGTCGTGGGAAAAGCGAAGAGAAGTTTGTCGCGTTGTCGAGGAAAGAGAAAGATAAAACGTTATATCTATACCTATCTGTCTATATATATATATATATCTATTCATTTATTAGCCTTTCTGTATATCTGGTATCTGTCTATGTCTATCAATTTTCCCTACAACACACGTATATATACATATATATATACAGGATACATACATTTATGAATATGTAAACAACACATAACAAGGCTGGATGGTACGCTTCATACCTCTGTCCCCAGCAGCTGCCTTCCTGTTGCAAATTCCACCTGCAGCAGACACGTCGTCAGGCAGAAAGACGGAGAGAGGCAGAGAGCGAGAGACGGCAGACAGACAATGACACATCCTATTTCGCTACCGCTCCGCCCTCGGCACCCGGGGAGACGGGGTCTCTCATATACTTTCTTTAATAAAACTACAAGCTAAGAACCCTGCCATACACCTGCAATAAGGCCACTCTCTCTCGTTGATAATATATGTATATATATATATATATATATATATATATATATATATATATATATATATATATATATATATAATATATATATATATATTTATATATATATATATATATATATATATATATATATATATATATATATACATATATATATATATTAATATATATATATATATACATATATATATATATATATATATATATATATATATATATATATATATATATATATATATACGTACATACATACATACATACATACATATATATATATATATATATACATATATATAGCTACATACCTACATACCTACATACATACACACACACACACACACACACACACACACACACACACACACACACACACACATATATATATATATATATATATATATATATATATATATATATATATATACATATATATATATGCATGTATATATATATGTATGTATGTATGTATATGTGTGTATGTGTCTGTGTGTGATTATATGTATATACATACATATCTACCTATCTACCTATCTGTATATTTAGATATAAGTGTATACATATTTGTGCGCATGTGTATACATGCATACTGCTTAAATACAGTTTACCCCAATTTCTTTTGCCTACAATTGTTGTATTTATGATCTTTGTGCTGAATGTCCATACCATTATTATTATGATTATCGTTATTGTTACTATTATCACTATTTTTACCGTTATTGTTATCATCATTATTATTATTAATCATCATCGTTGAAAATGTACCATACAAGGATTTCAGTTCTTGTAAATAAACTAGGACAGCTATGGCACACACACACACACACAAAACAGTTAGAAAAATCGAAACGCGGTTACACGTATAATCTTTGCTTCAGTAGGTTTAGACGGATTTTTTTTCCATATATGTTTGAAATTCATGTACGTAATTCTTAATAAATACTCACGGTCATAATATACAGTGTTATTATGCTGTGGCTGTACTACATTCATAAGGCCTATCGCCGTACGTGTCTGACATCCAAATCAGAGGCCTTAAGTATGTAGTACAACCACGGCATAATGGCACTGTATATTATAAAGCCTATTCAGAATGATTGATCTTCTACTGCTGTAGAAGATCGTGCATTCTGAATAGGCTTTACACCTTTCCTCTAGGCCTGAGCACGTAAAGAGTACACGTGCCCGACAAAGAGAAAATGATCACCTGCTTTGTGGACGAAGATTAGAGGCTGATTGAATATTTCATTTTGCAACTCACGCGCTCGGCAGAGATGATCTACGTTGAAAAATATGTTAGAGCAGATATAGTAAGTTACAGCAAGATTCACGCACGCTTGTCTTATTCATGTGGTTAATCACCTTTAGTTATGCGAATCTCGTGTTAACTGATAGTTAGGAATAAAACAATATGTATACATTGTTAATCTCGGGAAAAAAAACAGAATATCATTACGGATGGGTTAATAAATATTTTGAGGAAATTTATTTTTACCTTTATACACACAAAAAAATGATAGTAAAAGGAAAATAAAGGACAAATTATGTCAGTGACACGATCGGAGTATTAAATGAATTAATGAGGTTAACGACCTTCCTTTCAACAAGTAAAAAAAAAAAAAAAATGTAGCAAGGATAAAAGTACCGTGGAATTACATCAGTTTCCCTTCTTCATATTCTGCCCGCCATGTTTCGAAATGGAGGTAAGCCTTTGGCACTGGAGTTAGGTAATATCCGAATTTAGAAATATTTGACAATGGAATTTAACAAAAGTATTTCACTGAATGTACGATACATCATGATTAATTCTGAAGGTCTATCGTCTTTTCCACGGACCGCAAATCTTCCAAGATAGTAGGTATATTGTGACCAAATTCAAACCTGGTATGTATTTTGTTATAATATCAAATGCCTAGTACGAAGCAAGCAATCCCATCACAAGTTAGGGCCCTGATAGCAGAGACTGCGGTACAGCCTATAGTATTTATTACAACTCCTTTTTACCTTGTGCATTTCATTTATATCTTCTCCGTACCCTTTCATATTATACTTTACCATTTGTCTTTTACCTAATGAACCAGGAATAAATCCTTTCCCCGACAAACGGAAAATATGAGAAAGTTTACAGTGAGAAGCTCTTTTTTATCTTGTGCATTCCATTTATACCCTTTCATATTACACTTTACCATTTATCTTTTACCTAATGAACCAGGGTTAAATCATTCCCTCGACAAACGGAAAATATGGGAAAGTCTATAGGGAGAAGGTCTCAGTGGGACCCCTCGACGGTAGATTAAACTTTGATAGTGTTTGTCGCTAATAATAACATTTTTTTTCTCCTATTCACTTGCCTCTAGTTTCACTTACATGTATTTTTGCTATTTGATTTGAAAGGGTTGATCTTTCTAACGATTGACCTAGTGAGAGGTTCTTGGACGACCTATGGCCATGTGTGACCATGATTTTGGTATTTTAATGATTTCGTTTTCCTTTTATTTTTTGAGTCGAGAGAAGGAATCTGAAAAGGGTGAGATATTATCTTTTTATTCTGTCATATGATTGCTATCTTATATATTTGACAACTATATTACAGTTAATAAGTGTTTTACAATCCTGAGACCTTGGTATATCCTCGGTGTAACCGAAGGCGTTGAATGTCTATTATGCCACTAGATGCACACACGCATTGCAGTGCAGTCTTATGAACACAAACACACTGTTCACACACACACACATGTATGTATGTGTGTGTGTATGTGTGTGTGTGTGTGTGTGTGTGTGTGTGTGTGTGTGTGTGTGTGTGTGTGTGTGTGTGTGTGTGTATGTGTGTGTGTGTGTGTGTGAGTTATATATATATATATATATATATATATATATATATATATATATATATATATATATGTGTGTGTGTGTGTGTGTGTGTGTGTGTGTGTGTGTGTGTGTGTGTGTGTGTGTGTGTGAGAGAGAGAGAGAGAGAGAGAGAGAGAGAGAGAGAGAGAGAGACAGACAGAGAGAGAGAGAGGAATAGGTATAATTAGATAAATTACTTTGTCAAGATGAATAGTTACAAGCCTGTATGTGCGTGGCTTTGCATTTATTCCGCACGTGTGTGTGTGCGAGTGTATACATGTACACATGTATGCATTTCTGTGTTTGTGCGTTCTCCATCTATTTTTTGTGAAAGGTCACCATAGTAAACCCGTTCTTGCCGCTGCCCTGTTCTAAAGACGCAATAATTTTAGGCCAGGTTCTACCGCACGCACCCCTGATCATCCCCCCTCCCTCCCTCCCCCTCCCTTATCCTCACTCCTCCCCTCCCTCCCCCTCCCTTATCCTCACTCCTCCCCTCCCTATCCCCCATCCCTCATCTCTCGTGCACCCTCCTCCCCTTCCCGCCTCCCCCATCTGCCCCCCCTACCCCACTCCACCCCCATCGGGCAGTCCGTCGGTCCATCCACGGTGCACCTGTGAGTCTGTAACAGTGAGACTTGGAACGTGATCGAGGGAGGTTGTGTCGCGCCATTCTCCGGGTGATTCACTCTCACACGAGATCTTGCGTTGTGCTAATCCTCTCCCCTTCCTGACACGATGCCTGCGAACGTGGAAGCTAGCAGTACTCTGGTGTTCTTCGTGAACGGGAAGAAG